TACAATCGACTCCTTCCGACTTTTTTTTTTTACAATTTTGATGTTACTTTTTCTTATACCGTCTCTCATTCAAGGACATGGTGTCGTCACTCTATGAAGTTCTTGGCTCAGTTCAACACCTATTAGACTTGACTGGTTCGAGCAAGTCTTTCTCAGTCCATGAATTCCTTAATTTCTGACCCATGTTTTTAATTTTGTTCACAGTACTTCTACCTAAAGTAAATCTCTTTTATTGATAGTGGATACTCTTATTTTATTGGAAGACGCAGTACTGTTTATTATCCTTTCTCACCTCGACCCTCAGCATTCTCGGATCCATAGAGCTTTCACGGTTGCTACTAACTTTCTCTTTTCATCTGTTATCAGGCCATCTAGACAATGAACTACTGAACCATATCAGTAAGCATCTTTTGAGGATGTGCTCCCGCACTGTGTCAGGAACCCCAAACATATATTTTATCTTCGGCACATTTGTAGCTGTGCTGAATTCCCCGAAACTTCACGCATACCAGGCTATTTCATAGCCGAGCTATGAAAATTCTGCGAAAGCATCGTTCACTTGTGCTGAGTAGGTGGATCTCCTTCATCTAACACGGAATCCATCGCCTATTTTTACAAATATTCTATTTCTTTTGCGCTTTATTTTATTTTTCGTGCTTTAAAATGTCTTGTGTTTGCCTTACGTTCTGGCCAGAATCTGACCATTCCAAGTTGACCAAACTTTTTCATTTCTAGTATTGTAGAGTTCGTGACATGCACACAAACCGACGAGCAACGGTTCTATATTTGTTCTCTTTAGGTGGTCTGCGTGCTAAGCGAATTGCTGAGTTCAAAATGTCGCTACCAAGTGCTTCTTCTATGAACCCATTCACCGATTATAAGCTGGTGACGAGTTTTAAAGATTTGAAGAAAGGACCCAACAGCCGTGTTGCTGTAGTAGGAAAAATTGTATCGACTGTGCCTCATGAGGAAATCGTGCCAATGTCAGTGCCCAACCGAATGATTTAGTAGTAGTGCATCACCCTTATGTCATCACGATTATCCTTCCAGAACTTCAATAATGATGGACGTAGAAGGTGACTGCATCGCTGTTTCTGTCTATAATTGCGCTCCATCTTTGACATTCTCAATTGGGGACACAGTGATTGTTGCCGATCCGCACGTTACTGAAGTAGAGGTAGTGAAATTTGTTTTCTCTCTGATACGATTCATAAAGGATTTTCTTGCAGAACTTGGATCTTCCGAGCCTATCCAATGTGTCGTTCCGATCCGTGCGTGTACCAAATCCATCGAAGATCTCTCGCAACGGCAGCCTTCCGAAATCTACGCAACTGGCTCCATCACATTTGAAGATCTCCGCATTATAGCTCATAAAAAAAGTAAATTCGATAATATTAACGTGCATTTGGAGGTCCGTGCCTTATCTGGTTGTGCCAGCAGTGAAATAGCCTCACTGGTACCAGTGAAGAGTAATAGAGAGCTTCGTACATTATGTTTCATTTTTGAACTCGAATTTTGTATCAGGTAAGCATACTGTATGTATGATTCAGCATACTGTATGATAGCATACTGTGCTTTATTGAATCCGAACAAATCATAGGGAATATCAGGTAGGAAATACTATTATTAAAAACAGCATTTTCGTCAGGTGCGATTCATTTCCGAATAACATTGCGTTTCAATGTTTTAAGAATCGCCTAGTAGTGACACGGCGTCAGTTTATGGACAGGTAAAAGTCAGCTGCAAATAGAGCGGTATTTGTGAAAAAGCGGTGAAGTACCGCTTTGACATATGAATAAGTATAAGTACATGCAGCGAATGTTCTATGAGTACCGTTAAATCGCCTCACAAGTGAGGCAAGCAACGACGTTTCTACTGTTATGTGTTACGTTAAGATAATTACTTTTATTCTTTCACTAAATCGAGTACCGTCGCAGGCCTGGCTGTTCTTGTTATCTGTCTCCAATTCATCATACTGTCATCAGTGGGTAACCAGGCTCGGATGGGGCCCCTCCTAATTACGTACACCTACCGATTTTGAGGCCTTTCCCGTGTCGTTCCCGTTCAGCTTCGAACTCGACTTTTTTTTCATCGGATTGGTTGATGGCTTACTACCAATAAGTACGTAACCACGCCGTCACAGGCGATGCTCTCTTATCTTTAGCCGGAATGAAACTGTTTGTATGACTATTCAGACCAATTCATTTTTGCTCTGGTCTAGTCGGACCCATCCCAGGTTCATCTTAACACCATTTCAGTGAATTGAAGTTGCCTTCCGTCGCCACCCGATGACCATCGCGGGCTTCACCCCTGGTCTGCATATCTTTTCCTTGAGCTTCTTGGAGCGCCGGTGAATGCATGAGATACCACTGGACTCGATCAATTCTGTTCTGGCTGTATATGTTTGAGCCTTCATTGATAGTTCTAATCCAGTGTCGGCAGCCAGGTCACTCCACAGGTATCGTACGCCCAGGCTCTTTCAATGACGTCGCGGTCACATTTAATAATTGTCCCTGCGGAAATACTGGATCTGAAGAAAAAACCTACACTTTTAGCTAAAGTATATTCTTCGCCGTAACTTCATGCCATTTTTGCTGCATGTTCGGGGTTCCATCCCTACTCTCTGCTATCAGGGCGAAGACATCTGGGTAGAGGAATGTCTTTAGTGCAGTCGGCAGGTACGGACGAATTTCAGCTGATTGTCGAATGTATACAGCGTGCCGCGACGGGCTTCGAGTACCCCTAGTTGAGCTTCTGCTGGGAACTTCAAGCAGAGGTGGTGTTGTGATGAGTGCCGGCATCCCAATTCGGCAGTTGAAACCCGTTGAAGCCTAGCACCATCGATCTGTGTACTAAAGATCGGGTGGTTGATGGTCGATAAAAGGCGCGAAAACAACCACCCATCGGACAGCCACCGCATGGTGTGGGTCGAGCAGTGGTGGTCTTTTTTTACGTTCAATTGATTTAATATCAATAAAGGGCGGGAAACTCACCGCCTAACCAGGGCCAGTCGCTCCTCGATGCCTACCGAGCATCGATTTTATGTTTTATTTTATTTTCTTAAACTTTTGAAAACAATTTTTAATCAACTCATTTGTCCTTTTTCAGATAATGGGTATAAATGACAGAGACACCACAAGAACGTGTCGAACTCCTCGTCGCACATCGAATAACCGGTAAGGAAGTTTTTGATAAAAGTTGGTAATCTGTTTCTGGAAGTGTTTTTTTTTTTCAGTTGTGCGACACTGATCGTGGATCGCCCAAACCAGCAGAGCGAACGACAGCTGGCGATCCACTCGAACCGTGTCGCGAAAGGGACCACAGGTACTGAACAGCTTTTTCTACCTGCTTTTCAATGTTTCATTTTGACTGTTTCAGATCCACACGGGCGACTGTGGTCCAAGACGTGCGACGGGAGCGACGGAATGGAGCGGCCACCGCAGATGAGTGTTCAGTCCGTGTCTGTCTGTGTAAAGTGTTTGTCCATGTCTTTGCATGCCACGTCCTTTGCCTGTGTTTGTCCACGTCAGTCCATGTCCTTCCCTTTGTACGTGCCCGTCCGCCCCGTCTGAACACGTCCGTTCGTGTCCTGTCCAGTCCGCGTCTGTCTGTCTGTACCCACCTGTGTGTACTGTCCGTTCACGTCCCCCTGTGTGCATCTGCCCAATCGTCTACCTGTCTACCTGTCCTGCACATGTCTGTTTCTGTCTGTCAATCCGTCTGTCTGCGGTCTGTCCACATCTGTTCTTATCTGTCTGTCTGTGCCCGTCTATCTATATGTCTGCAAGTCTTCTGGCGTGTGTCTGCACTTCCGTTCTTTCTGACTGTCTTCGTTAACATGTTAGCATTGCTGTCCGTGGACACCCTCATTGGAGATTGCTGCTTGGGGAACTCTATTCCTAGCACAGGGGAGGGAATAGGGAGTGAATTATTGCTCCACTCTTTTCGACAATATGTGATCTGATATTAGACTTACTAGCATAAGAATGCAACGGTCTTCTCTCTTGCTCTAACTTTCTTTCTCTTTTCCTGTATGTTCTCCCTGGATTCCAAGTTTGGATCCTCTAATGGATTCTGCGTTTGATTGCGATTAGGGAAAAGAAGAGGCATAAGTGTTGCCTTTCCCCCTTCTTACAATCTAAGGCAGGACCCGCAAGAGGATGCGAAATGTGAATCAAGGGATTTCAGCTCTATTCTCGTAACACTAACGTAACGTAACATTGTTTTTTATCATTTAGGTTTTATAGCCTTCTCTGGAATTGCTTCAGTTGCCTGATCATGTCTCTGCTCTTTCTTCCCGCACTCAGGCTACTATTCACTACTGATCACTGCATTTAATCAATATTTCTCTTCTCTTGAGAGTTTTTTTTTCTAAGTTTATTCCTGTGTTTTGCCAGGGTTACGAACCTCTCACGGATTCTGTTTTAGATCGTGTATGAGGGAAGTGAAGGGGCATGAAATGTCATTTTCCTCCCCTCTCACAATCAGATGCAGAGTCCGCAAAAGAGGAACACAGACCCAACGTTAGGGGAAGAACGCCATATGGGGGAACTGAAAAGGGGAGGAGAAATAGATGGATAGGATGGCGATTTATCGACCACCACAACTTATCCGTTTTTTGCCTTATTTTCGGTGGTTATATTTTACTCTTTTTCAAGTATTCAACGTACTCTTTAGCTTTTTGTGCTGTCATTTTCGATATAGTTCCACTGTTTATCTTTCTTCCCTTTGTTCTCTGTTCTTTATTTCCTCATATTCTGTTCTTTGTTCTCTTTTCCCCTTTTCTTCTTTTTCTTGATTCCTTTTTTCGTCCACTTTGTCTGATAAATCAATTCCTGGGTAGGCTTAGAGCAGCGATCCCTAATTGTGGTTGTTGTATGGACAGAAATGATAACATTGTTGGAGTCAGGCAACGGGAAAGAATGGATGGGTGGGCTGGTCAGGAGGGGTGCAGGCAGAGTAGGTGGATGGGCATAGTCAGGACGGATGAGGGCAGGTGATGGAGTCAGACGCAGTCAGAATGGAAGGCAGGCGGAGGCAGACGTATGCAGTGCAGGAGGTGGGTGATGATGTTGGGCAGATGGCATGGGAGGGGTGTGAATGGGCAGGACAATGCGGGAGGGTAGGACGGACAGCAACGGAAAGGAGGGAACACGGATGGATAAGTAAGAGAGGGCGGGCGGGTGCGAGGTAGAGAGAGGGGGAGGGAGGTGGGGTAGGAAAGCAGGCGGGCATGGAAGAATGAAACGGTTTCTCTCCTGTTCGGGCCCGCGTGTCATGACTACTAGTAACCTCCCCCTTCCCCTGTCCGTCCACGTCCCCTCCCTCTCCTCTCCACTTGTGTCTGCACCCACCTTCTTTGTCTGTTCCACCTACCCACACCCACCCTCGTACCTGTCCACACTCACCTCAGCCCACCCCCACACATGTCCACGTCGTCAGCCTCCTCTACCTATCTGCGCCTGCCACACCCACCCCCGTATTTCTTCGCCCGTCTGTCTGCCTTCATATGTCTGCTGATCCTCTGCTAGCCATCCATCCTCCCTTCCCTCGTCTGTCTCCACTGGTATTGGCTTTGCTGTCCGTAAAACTACCTTATTCAAACAACCGCTTGGAGGAGGTTCCTTTAATGGTCATACTTTTGATAGAAGAGCGAAGGATTTTGACTTCGGGTCTTAATCCTTCGCTTTTCTACCAAACGTATGTCCATTGAATGAACTCGACTGATCGGATGATGGTTATACCCCGTGGAAAATGGAAAAAAGTGGAAAGAAGGGGAAAAAGATAGGGAAGAAAGAAAGATAGAAAGAAAGAAAGATAAAGGAAAGTAAGCCGAAAAAAATACAAGGTAGCCTTACAAGAATGGCCAGTATGGGTAAAACTTTAAACTCGGAAAGGACTCTCCTGTCTGAGCTCGAATTTTTTCCCACTACTCGCCATAGTTGCGCAGATTTTACGATGCAAGATAACAAGCCCTGACAAAAAACACTCAAAACGAAAAACACCCTGATCAGAGCGAGGACTCATGAGAAAAGTGAAATGGGCACAGAAGAAACAGTTCCCTTACACCCTACCTTCCCCCGTTTCCCTCCTGATCTCCGATATTGATTGACAGAAAAAAAACGAGAAACCCCGATGAATGCGAACCATGAAATAATGAGAAAAGATAAAGAAATAGTAGAGTGATAACATAAGATGAGCAGACATTGAGCCAATGTGGTAGAGGAACATGAATAAAAAAGACAGAGATGACTCAGAGGACAACAAAAAAAAAAATGCAGAGAGAAAAGAGAAAAGAACTAGAGCCGAGAAGATACAAAGATAGTTTCAAGAATGGCGACTCATGGGCAGATCTCCAAGCTCAGACAGGACTCGAACCCGTGCTTGCGCAAGTATGGGGATCGGATCCCGTCTGAGTTCGAATTTTTGAACATAAATCACCATTATTGCACAAGAATCACAAAAAGAAAAAGTATTCCTGATCGGAATGATGAAGTCATAAGAAAAGAAAAATGGAGAGAAGTAAAACTATACCCTTACGCCCTTTCTTCACCCGCTCCCCTTCGCCCTTCTGCAATATTCATTGAGAGGGAAAAGAATGGAGACAAACCCCATGAATACAAAGAATGAATCAATATTAGAAAGAAATCAATATTACAGAAAGCAAAGAAAAGAGTGAGCTAGGATGAACAGTCATTAAACCAAGAGGGTAGATGAAGATGGAATCCACAATCGAAGAGAATTCTCCTGATTTCTCTTCATCTACTTCGCCACTTCTTAGCCTTTATCGGAAAGTTCCATTGGCTCCATGTTCTTGATTCTTGTATTTATGTTCTCGATTCGACTATGAGTTCGAAGGTAACTTATAGTTGAACGAAGTACATCAAGACTATAAGTTACCTTTGGACTCAAAGCGGAGCCGAGAGCATAAAAAGAACATCAGAAACTCGAAACCATAGAAAGATTATGAAAAAACATAGTAAAGGAAAAAAGAGGACAAGGATGGAACACTATGAACGTGTGTCAAAAATGACTATGGAATCAGGAATCAGCGAGATAATGAAGAGATACAAAATATCACAGAAATTGGAAAAGGGAAAGAAAGTCTAAGAAAAATAGTTACTAATTCGGTTGTATGAGTCAACTGTGAATCCTACAGTGATCATAATGGGAAGGAGAGCCCGACGTACGAATGTCCCCAAGCGGTCACATTAACTCTTCGTCCACGCTGAGCCTGAGGTTGGATATGTGACCACTGTACCTTTCCCAATGGTTGATTAGAGATAGCACACCAAGCTATGAGTAGGGCACGGTGGAACAACTCCTCCCACCCGCCCAGCGTGGACACTAGTGTTATGGACAGCAAAGCTCAGAACACCCTAATGAAGACAAACAGAAGGACGGAGGTGTGGATGCACTGAGGAAGTCAAGCAGACATAGAGGTAGACAAGGCGGACACAGACAGACAGGAATGGCTGTGCACAGAATGCAGACAGGCTGGTAGACAGACAGACGTGGACACTAGCAGACAGATGGACAGAGGCAAGCAGTCGGACAGGGAGGACGCGGACAGGCAGGACACAGACGGCAGGCACAGACACAACTGGAGACGGGGACATGGACGGACGCATGCATACAAAAGGAAGGACAAGGACTGACGTGGACAAACACCTACAGGGACGTCGCATGCAAAGACAAAGACAAACACATAACACGGACAGACAAGGACAAAACGCCTATCTTCGGCGGTCGCTCGGCTCCGTCCTCTGGAAGCTCCTCCTTGCACGTCCTGGACCACAGTCGCCCATGTGGATCTGAAACAGTCAAAGTGAAACATTGAAAAGCAAAAGAGAAACACATATCAGTACCTGTGGTCCTTCACGCGAGAACGTTTGGTGTGGATTACCAGCTGTCGACCGGTCAGCCGGTTTCGGGCGATCCACGGACTTGGTCGCACAACTAAAAAAAGCAGCTTTGAAAACGTCTATATTTTTCTCGAAAGGTCTTTTTACCTGCCATCAGATGTGCGACACGAACTCGACGCGTTTCTGAGAGCGTCTCTTAGTTTATACCCATGATCTGAAAATGAATAGAAAGAGGTTTATCAATTAGATTTTTTAAGAATTCACTGAAGTCATATATGAACAAGAGTCCGCGCAAGGAATTCCTATAAAATTCTTTATTTTAGTATCAGAAATAAGGGAGTAAGAGGAAGATGTGAATCTCAATAGGAATAGAAGTACAATCAATGCGAGGGGCATCGAAGAGCGACTAGTGCTGGCTGGGTGGTGACTTTCCCGCCGTTTATTGATATTTAATCAATAGGGGGAAGAGAAAACGACCACCATACCGCCAACCACCATGGGAAGAATTCTGGGCGAATTTATTAAGGCTTCGCTCATCATTCCTTCCTTGTAATGAGTAGTGTTAACATAACGAATCGACTAAGCTAGATGTGCATGACCAAATTACCAATCAGGTAAAAAAAAACGACACTATCGAAGGAGATTTCGCTGAGCGATAACGGATAGGTGCCACAATACTATGAAGGTGACGCGGCCTGGGCTAAACTCAGCGCCATCTATCGACATTTGAGCTGGAGAACTCAAGCAGAGCGCCCACAGAAAGCCATTCTCCAGCTGGAATCGCAGTTCAAAACAGCTCTGAGCAATGCCTGAGTTCTGACGGCATCCTTCTTTTCTTGGCCATTTCACAGTCATCATCACAAAATAGCAAAGATCGATCGAAGACGGCTAGGTACATCTTCTAAGGCGAACAGATGTTGATTCCCTACAAACCTCAAAAATGTTCTCTGCTGTAGGATGGTCCTGTGCCTGCCTTTGCGCTCCACTTTCCTTGTTGTCATCATCAGCTCGGCCATCAAATTCAGCACCCTCAGATCTTATAGCTCGAAGCCTCGCATACTCTAGATGTCACTTTCGGCTTTCCAAAATTCGTGTGTCGTTGCTCAATATGGACAATCTGACAGCGGCTTGATGGGCACAGAAGTAGTGACGAGTTTCACTTTAACGGACAACACACAAGAAATGCAGGAAGTCCGATAGCGCAACTTGACTTACTCCTCGTCTTTTAGATAGGGCTGCCACGGACGAATACGAAGAAACTTGAATATCACATTCGACAGCTTTTGACGTCATATCTCTTGCATGTGCTTATGACACCCGCGGTGGTTATGTTCTTATTCTACATCTGACCTTTTCAAACTGAAACTTTCTTGTGAAACAAGAGCAACGAAGCTGAACGAGTTATTAAACTTAGAAATGAGTAAAAAATGTACAGCTAAACTTTTGCGGCTCTGTGCCGATGGAACAGACGATCGATATGGTCATATAGAAACCTGGGTTAGAAATTTAAATCGCACTTTGATGAATAGGAATTGAATGACATTTGATAGACATTGATTTTCATTAAATCGCAAGTCAAGTCAAGCTATACCAACTTCAGTTATGCGTTATTTGTAGGCTTTCCAAGCACGGAGAAATAACTTCTCTTTGGAGCCTTGCAGCTCTTTGCTCAGCTCAACTTCTCTTTGGAGCCATACTTATGAACAGTCACGTTTCAAAAGACGCTATTTTCGCACCATGTTACATTTCTATATGTCTTCCAATCACGGAGCAAATTGCAATCCCGCTGGACTTGGGAGAACGTTAAATTCAGAAGATATCAGCAGCAAATACAACTTGGGAGTCCCTACCGAGCCGTGACAAACAAGAAACGATATGCGCCTACATTCCACACCAATTAAATAACTACATAAAAGCTAAAATTAGGTAATTAAAAGGAAGTGACCACCGCAACGCAACTACACCAGTTTTCATTCCGCATAGAACCCGCCATCTCGCCTTTAAAAGCGACCCTTTGAACATGGAAATGGAGCGCGCCAACCGATGTTGTAAGAATCGTAGTTTCCCTCTATTTGTGTTGTTAACTCTCGTAGACAACGAGTTTTGAGTATGCAGATACCCAAAAAAGGTAGCTCATACCAAACCGAAATACAGGTGGTTAGTACGACAAATAAGTGTAGGTGAGGAATGAGAAAGGACTCAGTGAAGAAAAACCTGAAGAACTTGAATGAACAAATATGTGACACTTGGTTCACATGTTGGTTTGTGGAGCGAGTAGGATTGGTGTGAGGAAACGTTTTCAATTTTAGAAATCTCATATCAAATAAGACCTCGCAGTTCTGGAAATCCTCTCACTTGCGATGGACGTGGAAGTCACCTGGTCTCCGGGACCGCATACTGATACAGCAACTTGGCTCTTTACTCACGTTTTTTGCTAAAAATGTATGCAAGCTGGTTTTTTTGGTTTTCCATCTCTTCCCGTTGAAGTAAGACGGGTCTCATACTTGGTCTGTGTCACATACCTTGTAGATTGACTGGTTATTTTGTTTGCTAGGACCAGTAGGCTGTGAAAGCGCATGAATCGATTTTCAGTGAATATTCTCCCCACGACGAAAGAGTTGCTTTGTAGGGTTTCACTGAGGGCTACCTCTCTGCCTTACGGTCTGCCTGCCTCTGGTGCTGGTCCTCTCTGACAGTTGCCTTAAATGCTCCAAACAGAAAAATATCCCGCTCAAGCGCTCACCCAGCAGTTGTGTTTTTCTCCTGTTTTCCTTTGGAGGGAAACGGGGTTTTCCGCCGAACGTCTGCAATACGTACCTTGTTACTACTGTTTACTTCGCTTGTAAGTTTTCAGCCCTATCTAAAAGAAGGGGAGTAAGTTAAATTACGCTATCGGACTTACTGCATTTCTTGAATGTTGTCCGTTAATGTGAAACTCGTCCCTACTTCTGTGCCCATCAAGCCGCTGACAGATTGTCCATTTTGCGCCACGAATTTTGGAAAGCCGACAATGACATTTTGTGTATGCGAGGTTTCGAACGATAATCTTTGAAGGTGCTGAACTTGAAGGCCGAGCTGATGATAACAGCAAGGAATGTGGAGCGCAAAGGTAGGCACAGGCCCATCCTACAGCACAGAACATTTTTGAGGTTTGTAGGGGATCAACATCTGTTTATTCTATTGGCGCGACTATAGATATCGCTGCTCACCGTTCAACTACCTTGAAAAACGACGGATGTGACGATCATGTTGATCTTTTTGTTCGCTGGATTTCAACTTGTGTTTTTCTTCACATGTGCCAGACACATGCAATAAATCAAAATCTAAATCATATGTGTCACTACCGTATAGACTCGATAAAAGGCGCCAGCCCCACAGTTGTCTCCACTCTTCTCAAAACCAATTCTGAGTAGGGTAGCCAGCTGTCTAGGCCTGTGTTAATGCTCTCTAAGAACGACGTGCTAGCTACACTTTTGAAAGTACTCGAATCGGGCTGTCAACTAAATGTTCAGTTCTCCCTCCACCCCAACTTTTAGCACACCCTTCCTGAAGCTTAGTTGAAGATTATATTTATCTGATTCAGTCTTGTCCACCCATCACTACAGGCTCACAAAACCAGCTAACCCAATTCTCTGGGCTGCCTAATGTTGAGAAAAAATCTTGCCTTATACCCATACCCTTTTAACGATTCTCCTTTCAATATCTATTACTGTACAATACTGCATCGGGTGTCAGGGTACACGGTCGAACAAGGTCGTTGTTTTGGGGCATCACTCCCGAATGTAAGCTTGGTGGTTCTCTTGGAATCATCAACTCTCCAATTTACCCTTTTCTTTATGAAGTCAACAGTGGTACAACGACCCAAACCACAACTACAATACATAACAACGTAGTTAGGAACATGGAATTTGGGATGAAGACTTGAACTTATGCTTGTCGTTAAAGAGCCTTGAGTTTCTTGAATTTCTACCTGATAGCGTCCCAAGCGAGTCCGTCAGGATTTCCGATGTAACAGCCTGAAGGCTTAACTGGAGAGCGACAGTCGTCACTGCACTAGCGCGAGCACTTTACGCATCCCAAGCGCAAATTCAACCGAGAAACTGACTCAACGCCGCCTTCCGAGCTTTTCTAATAAGCGGGCGCGGGGTTTAAATGACATCATGAACAACGGTTCATGACAGTTGTTACCGTCAAATCGCATATGCTGCTCACACAATTAACTGATTTGGAAAAGCTCTTTGTTTATTCATTGATGCATGCACAAATGTTGCGGTACGATAACATTGCTAACTGCTGAAACAGTCATTGCTGTTGCCGTTACTGTTGGTTTTTCCAATGTTCTAAAATGTCTTGAACGACTTCTCCATCCGAATAACTCAATAAATCGTGCACGGAAATCCATTCGAAAGTATAGATAGATAAATAGTGGAATAGCCGAGTGTATAGCGTAGAGACAATAAATAATTCCTATAAAACGAAGAAAAAGAATTTAACAAAAATGACATACTGTATATCACTATGCTCGCGGACAGAGATCGGGGCTCAACCTCACACAAATTTCCACTCCTCTTTGAACGTTCAGATGCAAGAAGTAAATTTCTCCGACTACATGTATAAATTCATTTAAGGCGGTTGAATCGAAATTATACAAGAGAAGGTATTGAATACGGCAAAGAAAAGTTGATGTTCATGAGGATTTAGTTTCCGCCTACGATTTTGTGGTGGATTTTTCAAATACGATTGATTACCTACTGCTACAGAGATACCTAGTTGTTCATTTTGGGCTCTGAATTACAAAATAGAAGTGGTAAAACGGTATGTTCAGTCCACAGAATCATTCCGACACTTTTCTGCTCTCAATTTTCTTTCTTTCACATTCGCTCAAGGTTTCTCCATACGCTCACCAAGTGCAAAGGGGTGGAATTTCGGAATTTTCCATCCGTTTAGGATAATCGCGAAATTCGGAATTGAGACAAGAAATACGGAGAGCAAGTCCAATGATAGAATCATACGCTGTCGGCGTATCTCACGAGCGGTTGGAGTCTGAAATATTAGCTTTCTTTTGCTTTTTATTATCAAATCTCATCATCACTCTGATGACATTTTGAAAATTCGAAGGATTATCACAGCTTAGCTAAAAAGCATCCGAAATATCACGCGGCCATAACTGTAAGGGACCATTGGCCCATGATCCTCAACTACGCTAAGGCGCTCAATAACATTAGAAATTTGGAGGGGCAAAGGTGTGGAGACTCCAAATTCCAGAAAACCACACAAGCATAGACCACGATCATAAACACCCGAGGTCTACTCATTCCCTTTTGAAGGCACTGGTCATTCTTGGGAAAGGCCAAGGATTTGTCTTAGCTAACCCACTGGCGACAACGAAGCAATCAATACCACAATACCTACTACATAAACGTGAAAATCAGCAGCAACTACTGGCCCAAATTCAGATTCTATTCAGATTTGTAATCTTATGTTGTGATTGTGTACGGCAATAATCATTTTTCGACGGGTATGCACCTATTTTTGCCTACTACTGATTCTTTAAACTACTTCATATGGATTTGCGAAGCTTGTCTAAAGGGATAATCACACCGTGATGTTAACTTGAAGATCTCATACATGACTTACTTTGTTTTTGTTAGTTTTATGGAAAAGATTCCCTAGCACTGTGAAACAACATATATAAGCAATAGAAATCAAAGAATAGTGTACAGTGCCATAATAAATTCCCGTCGAATCCATCACCGAACATAGATGATCGTTGAGCACTTGCACATGATCGTTCATGTTTAGAACAACAGCAATAATAATGAAAAACTGAAACAAATATTCTACGGGCACCGGTTAGACGTAGAACCTACAAGTATCACAAGTACATCCAGAGAAAAAAAAGAGCAGATGTTGGAAAAGCAGTGGTCGACCTTGAGCGCTAGGTCTTTTGCTGTATAATAACCAATATAAAGCCAATGACAACTTATCAAAGGTTCAATATAGTTATAGTATTTAGAACGACGCCAATAATCATGAAAAAGTGAAACAAATATGAAAACACTAGAAAAGAGTTGGTTAATTTAATTAATTTTTTTATGGATTTCATGTCATTAATTCTTTTAATTATTTTTAATTTAATTTTTTATTTTATTTTATGGTCATTAAGTGGAAGGCAAAACATTCGAAAACTATTCTTAAAGTATGGAGAAGCGCAAATTTTGTTAAGTCACCAGTAAAACTTCGTCATATATAAAATTTGAATGAACTTGACGTTAGGTTCCGCGAACAGCAACGGCTCTAACAACATTTCTGGACTTCATATACCCAGAACTCACCTAGTAAGTAGTGTAGTAAGAATATACATCAAAGTAATCGAAATGTGAACATGACTGTTTTACAAGATATCATCTCAACGATTCCAGGGTAAAAGCAAGTTTGACCACAAAAGAAGATCTCAAAAATGAAATGCTCGAACCAGAAGTAATAAATACTTAAACTCACCGATGTTAGAACGATTGTGAGTGTGATGTAAGTCTTCTTTTGAAATATCAGCAGTTCTTTTCTGTAAATAGTCACGAACTGAAGTGCGGCTACCCTGTCGAAAGCCACGAAAATATGCAGCAGCGCCGGAACTTGCCCTGAAATCACTTTCTTTCACGTAAGCGGACATTCACTAAATGTGAGTGAGATTTCTTATCGAAAATGTGATTGCGACAAATTAAAGCGGTGAGAAGGGACGAGGAGTGTGTGCCATCGAGGCTAACAACAGTTAAACTGCGGAAAAACGGTATGGGATGTTCTCGGAGATTCCTTCTCAATAATCCTGACATGTGGTTCATGCTATTCGCTCGCTGCGTCTTGACACTGTGATGGTTCTAGGGTTACTTCATCTTGCCAAAGTATTGAGCTCATCTTGCTGACACGGTAGCTAAATAAACTGCACAGGGATAGGGATGCGTTTCCCGTAAGCTTCTTTGTTATCTGCGGACGTAGGCGATAGACGATTGGCATAAAACAGCGTAACCATATGACTATTTGGAAGAAGGAATAAAAGCCACTTTGACCGTACGTAAATAGGAATTTCTATTAGAAAAAATCCTCAAAAGTTTCACAGCTGATTACTCACAGCAGACAAAACGGAAAATTGAAAAATACTGCTCCCTGCAGAATTGAATATTCATAAAAAAGTAGTGATGACAAACTCCAACGCCATGCTGCGGTCCATGGGAGACAAATCAAAATACACTTGCAAGCAATTGAAAAAGTACATTACATACCAGCGATAATCATCAAAATATTCCATGGAGTTTGAAGTAGGCATCCTCTGTTGGTCATTTTGTCGAAGTATACTCCTTGAAACAAAGCCATTTCACGAAACATCCCAGCCAATACGAATGAGAGACCGTTCAGCTAAAAACCGCAAGTATCAAGTAAGTCTGAACTACCGGTAACTGGTTTTAGTTCAAAATGATAAAGATGAACTTTTAAAATCAAAGGATTTTTTCATGAACTCAAAGTCCCATCATTAATTAGTACTTCAAAGTACTAGGTGCCAAGAAAAAATTGATCAGCTGTCCAGAAACAGCTGGGTGTCGCCGCTACGCCGCTTTCTGGGTTTCATTCGGTCGGATTGATCCAAATCAGATTACTTTTTCACATCGGAGCCTACTGTCGCTACACCCTTTCTGTTTCAGTCACACCAGATGATTATTGGCGAAGATGACGCTAATTGTAAGTCATGAGGAATCAGTCATACAATTGTAAGGTGTTTACCTGTACAAGTGTTCAAATGCCGGTGTTGAGAAGTCCTGGAAAAGGAATCAACCCCAACATAGAGAGCGTTTTAACCAAACGCTCCGTCTCCCTGAGATCAATCGGTAGACAACTGGCTCGTCTTTCTTTTAAGAGGAAATTACCAACTTATAGATAGGCTAGGTCACTGTAAAGCCGTGTGCAATTCAAACGGTTTTACGACCTCTAATGAATGCATAATAAGCAATACATACCAGAAGAACAATTATTCATCCTGGTCGTTCGTATTCGGTATTCGTTGACTTCTAAAGGAAACTGATAGTCAAAGAGGCAGGTCAAAGGGGATCATATGTTAGTCTATAAAGAATTCTATGACCAAGTCCTCTATACGAGAGAACATGGAAGTGCAGGCAACAAAAGTTCTAGTTGAAAGGATGGGTGGTTGGGTTGCTGTTTTCACATTCACGCTAGGGCATAGCAAAAGAAGCGGGTAGACTTTTTGTACTCCAACGAAGGTAAACTTCATGTTTATCGTCAATTTATCTTTTGTCACTCGTCATAGACCATTTGTAGACTCGCCGATAAACAGATTTGATCAGAGAAAATAAGGTTTTTGGAGATCACGTAAGTATTAGTAAGTAGCCTAGTTATAACAAGTTTGAATTAATAAATAAAGAACAAATACTTCCGATAAGCCTTACAAAGTCGCCCACGGACAATGCAGAAAACATGACGTATTTCTTCCGTAACTCATTCGTTGACAGGAACACAATGAGGCATATGGAGCTTGAAATACAAGTCACAGCGCCCAATACAAGGTAGATAAAATAGCGAATTTTAAGTTCAACTTCGAGTACCTGGAAAAAATTACAATTAATAATCAGTTTACATTCTCAACAGACTTCATTCTTGCAGATTAGGGATCTGAGCAAGATGTACTGCACCTCCCGGTTGTGTCAGGTCGGTTCAGTGTTTTCTATAGCTGAATTTAATGAGGATACATTCGGAAGCCTTTTAACCTAGTGTTTTGGAAGAAGCTCTCTCCCGCCCTCTTATTGTCAGTAGGGGAAGTCTTGTGAGCAACCTGTTTACTCGGTGGCTGGCAAGTTTAGATTCGCCCTGATACATTTCGCCCACACCGCCATTGGGAGTATTGAGTTTGAGCTCACACACAAGCTGCACTATTCATGGAATCTGAGACTCATCGGAAAAATTCCAATTATTTTAGCAGAACACTTTTTCCCTAAGTCGGATTGTTCTAATTACACCCTTTTCCACCGCCGAACGTTATTGAAACCATGAGAGAATGGCATTGCACATATGAGCTCCTTTGCATCCGGTGCTCGTTGCCATAAGAGACAAGTGCAAATACAAGGAACCATATTGTTGCACAGTTAAGGAACATGTTTATATTCATTGAAAAAACACTTTGAATACTATGAAACTCAATAAATGAAAAGGCCTCTGAACTAGCTTGCAGCAATCTCATGACCTTCCAGCCTTTTTACTAACCAGGAAATTTTTCCAGTGCATTCGGAAGCCCACCTTTAGACATCAGAAAAGAATAAAACCACTTAGACAACAAATAAGATTTCCAAATAGTCAGGCCAAGGATTATCACCTACTACAAAAATGGCAGGGATACAAATAGAATATTTATTTAATCGTTGAATACACATGTAGGTATGCTTACCTAAAATCTCCACTAGCTAGTGGAACAAACAGGTGCACAAAATGTTCAAACGAAAACCTATGGATTCAGTTTTCAGTTGCTAACATGAATATATCTAATCAATCTTTTGAGTTGCACACTCTTTTTAACACCCATACCATAGAAAGACAGGGAAGGAGTCTGCTGTGGGAAGTTTCAAAATATTTCCCCTACCTGATCGTTTCACAAGAGCCTGGCCTCCTTCACAACTACCAGTTCTATTCCTCCATAATCCTTAACGGAAGGCTTCTCTTCGATGAGTCTAAACCAGCCGGTGTGGGACTATCCCACAATACCAGCCACTAGTTCCTCAAGCTTTCCTTTTAACTTTAACCCCTACCCTTCAACTTGGTTTTTTTCCGGGAAAGTTATATTGAAGAACCTCAAGAGTAACTCACCTAGCGCTTAATTCAAAAATGAACTCACTTCTGTCTGTCTCGGTTGATCGCTGTCGATATTCATTGACACCAAATGAGGTATAACGGTTGTCCGTTGCTATTCTGAAGAATGTTAACCAGCCAGCTTATGGAGATGATTGAGAGACGATGTTGTGGACGAAGCCTTCAACTGGAATCGGAACATGACTTCTTCAAGGAAAGATTCCTCTACAACAATAACAATGATAATCCGAAGTAGTGAAATCAAGTCTACATTGAAAGTATAGATTGAATCACGATGTGTTAGTGTGCAAAAGTTTCTTCAATGTACGAACATTATTTCTGGCGCAAAATTAATTTGCCTAGTAGGCGGGAACTAATGAAAAAATGTACCATTCACGGGCATTCACGCACTTGTGGAATTGGCAAGGGAGTATCAGAGAATCACTGTGTCTGGAATTGGAGAGAACACTGCATATGTTAAGTTTCACGGAGTCTAGCCTTCTCACTAGAAAGTGGTCTGCACAAAGAGTCCGCCCCAGATTCTCAAAGCTGAGGCTCCAAAGAACTTATGTCGAACAAATATTTCTAATCGGAGAGCTGAGAGAAAATGGCACAGCGCTATCACCGCATTCAATGAGGTGAGAAGAAAGAAAGAATTGACTGAAAACCGAGGTAGCCACCCGATAGATCACCTGAAAAGGGGCGGATCCATGTGTTGA